CTCCCAAGTAGCTGGGACCACAGGCGCCCGCCACAATGCCCGGCTATTTTTTGGTTGCAGCCGTCGTTGTTTGGTGGGTCCGGGCTGGGGATTCGAACCCACCACCTTAGGTGTACGTGGCTGGCGCCTTAGCCGGTTGAGCTATGGGCGCCGAGCCACACCTGGCTATTTTTTGGTTGCAGCTGTCATTGTTGTTTGGTGGGCCCAGGCTGGATTCAAACCTGCCACCTTAGGTATATGTGGCTGGTGCCTTAGCCACTGAGCTACAGGCACCGGGGCCTTCTAATATGTCTTCTTGAGAAAAAATAACTATAAGACAGTGTCTTATTTTGGAGGAAATACAATAGGTAGCTCTAGGAAGACTGTGTGTGTGTATAATTTTTTTTTTTTTTTTGAGACAGAGTTTCACTTTGTCACCCTCTGTAGAGTACTGTGGTGTCAGAGCTCACAGCATCCTCTAACTCTTGGGCTTAAGCGATCCTCTTGCCTCAGCCTCTTGAGTAGTTGGGACTACAGGCACCCACCACAACACCCAGCAAGGAAGATTACATATTAAGTACTTAATCTATAGCATGCCACTTAATCTCCATGTCTAAACTTATAAATGTCCATGATAAATAGTAGTGCATGTTCTTTTACTGTTTTAGCATTTTAGAATTCTAAATATGACTTCATGACTTAGCTTCAAATGCAGCATTTGGAGGGAAGATGTGAGTTATTAAATTATCATGCACACCATCAGTCACGTGGTTCTATGTGTAGATACGGGGGATACATGATCAAAATTAAACTTTAATCACCACCCCCTCCCAAACAAAGTGGAGCATTAAACTTTTTAAGTAGCTGCATATTGTATACGCTTACCTATGCCACATGTGTGGCTGGGCTGCCTTCTGGGAATAGTCTTTGATAATAGTGCGTGAACTCGGCAGGATTATGAAGACAATAAAAATTGCGAACTAGGCACTCTTTTCTCCAGTGTTTGCACATAGTTTGGATTTGTGTGTTGGTTGTTTAAGCCTATGGACTTAAACTACCACCATGCAGTTTTTTGTGGGGCCTTCCTCCATGTACACCAGACCCACAGACTTCTGCTTTATTTCTGTGGCACTATTGCAAATACAAGTTAGTATTTGTATCCAAGCATCCAAGTGGTAGATTCACTAAAACTGGCTGCTCACCATAGAAACCTAACACTGCAGTAATGAAAAGTTGGGATTCAGATTTGTTTCTTCAGTTGCTAAAGCCCGATTTCTTTCAAGCCTCTGGATAAGTAGACCAAGGAAGACCAAAATAGGCAGCAAAATCACCCTGCCTTCTAAGAATAAAGTTTATATGTATAAAATTGAAAATAATCTTCATAGTCTTTTCTAAACACAAAACATGCAATAGATTAAAGCAGTGCCATGTGCAGTGTAGTCCTTGGTCGCTAATCCCAAGAGGAACCCATTCGTTTCCCTGTAAAGCATTTGGAAGTGTGTACGTGGTGGGGAGGGGTGTTCGCTTTCTGGCTTTCCAATGACTGGGAGACACCTGTGTTTAGTAATGGGATCAGGGATGCTAAACATCCCCGGTGGTTGGTTTTCCAGAATGAATACTTGAGCTATCCAGAATGCTAGCAGCACCCTGAGTGGAAAATAGGGCAGTAACACACTCACTAACTTAAAGCAGCTTGGGCATTCATCATTAGCGTACTGCCTATTTAACTGGTATTTAAGTATCATGAGTATTCTTAGCTGCTCCTCTGTATAAAGATTATAGACCATGCACTACACATGAATGAATGTATGCGTATATTAAACTTAACTTGAGTTTGCAATTTTAAGGAGGCTTTTCTCCCCTCCCCTCCCCTCTTCTCTTCTCTTTTCTTTTGTTGAGACAGTCTTACTGTCTTGCCTAGAGGCTAGAGCTCTGTGGCCTCAACCTCCTGAGTAGCTGAGACTACAGGCACCTGCCACAGTGCCCAGCTAATTTTTTTATTTTCGATAGAGACAAAAGTCTCACTCTTGCTCAGACCCGTCTTGATTCCTCAGTGCATAGGGTCATCCTGCCTCTGCCTCCCCAAAGTGCTGGAATTACAGGTGTGAGTACCGCTCCCTACCACATGCTTCCTTAAAGTAAGAAAGATGCTGGTGTGTCCCAAATCAGAATTGGGAATTATTCTTTTTGATTGGGCCAGTGGACTCCTACTGCTGATCCCAATTTTATTTATTATTTCACTGCCAGAGCAACCACCTGATGTCAGGCTTGCCATCTTTGTTTGAAGTTATCCATAATCGTGGCTTCTCGTAGCTACTGGAACATAGTAGGTAAAGAATTTTATAGAAACATTGGGCTGGCTAAAACTTGGCAAAATGGTTTGTGTTAGAATTGTGGGTGCTCTGATTAAGTGCTTTTGATGGGAGGCACAGATTTGTTGATTTAGACCTTCTCAATTTTTAAGCCCATTTTCTGCACACTCCTGGGTTGTCATAGCCAACCTCGGTAACAGTATTCATTTTACTAGTTACTTTTTCAAAGAGTTGTGTGAACTTAGAATGAAATGTGAACCTGATTCAGAACCTTAATAAAGTTTAGTCTAAATCCTATTAGTTTGCAAAGTGGTTAATATCAACTTTTAAATGTTAACTGTTAGCTTGGAGGAGATGACATTTTCTCACTGTCCTCAAATTTGTAAGTGATCAAGATTTAGAATTTAGAGTTTGAAATCTCCTTTGCATATATTCTGCTCTTTGTGTGTGTATGTGTGTGTTTGTCTTAACGCCTTCAGACTTCTTAACTTGGTTACTTGGTTCAGTTTCTGAATTGGCAGACAAAAAGAAAAGCACCCAGCGCTGTGTTTGTCAGCCCCCTCCCCTGCGCCTTAATTCCGATGTGCCGTGTCTTTGATAGCTTCTGTGTATGTGATTCGGAGCTGAGTTTATTGGAATATCTAACTTTGGGGCTGGTTTTCCCATCGCTGATATGTGTCCTCAGCCGTAATTGAGAGAGATGCTTAATTTCTGCTTCATGCCAGCCTTTTATGATTGTGTTTTTAAAGAAACTTGTATCTTAGTATGATTCGAGACTTTAAACATGTCTATTCTTTCCAGTAAATTTCAGTTCTTTAACTTATAGACTTGAGATTGGGGGAAAAAACTTAAAAAAAAAAATACAGATAATGGGCCAGCACAGTGGCTCATGCCTTTGATCCCAGAACTCTGGGAGGCCCAGGCAGGAGGACGCCTTGAGCTCAGGAGTTCGAGACCAGCCTGAATAAGAGTGAGACTTTCTCTCTACTAAAAATAGTAGCCAGGCATTGTGGTGGCACCTATAGTCCCAGCTATGCCGGAGGCTGAGGCAGGAAGATCGCTTGAATCTACAAGTTTCAGGTTGCTGTGAGTGGGGCTCACGCCATGGCACTCCAGCCCTGGTGACAGAGACTGTCTCAAAAAAATAAATAAAATAAATCTGGAAAATGATTTCTTACTTTTCCACGTTAGTAATATCAGTCAGAGACCCATTAAGGCATTCTGGATATATTTCAGAGGTTCTCTGGAGTTCTCACAGGCTTGAACGTAATGGTAAAGAAATGTTTCATGAAGACGAATTCTCTTGCTGAGCGGGGAAGAGAGGTTTGTGCTGGCCAGATGCTCAGACCTCTGTCAGGTGGACACAGGCACGGTTAATCCACATTTGTGCCTGTGTTAGGAAGAACCCCGGATGATGTCTCTCCAGATTCCATATGTCACTTGAAAAATAGTGAGAAGCCAGCGTGTCTTAACTTTAGGGATGGTATTCGCTCCGTGGCTCTGATATTTCCCTTTGGCACGGTGACACGGCCGTCAGCTTAGTGTTTGTCATATGCTTTGTAAATCTGGGTTTTCTCAAGTGATAAATTTGGCAATTAACCTTAAATATGTCTTTTTTAAACACACACACACACTCACGACGACATTAAAAACCTTTTAAGGTCCTCCTGCCTCTGACCTCAGGTCCCTGTGCTCTTTATTTAATACTTTCATCTTTGCACTTTACATTTATCTCTCTTCTAGATAGATCTCACAGGTGGCATTGAGAGGGTAGTTTGTCATTGTTTTTCTTGTTCCCAGTAAGCTTTTTGGATTCCTCGTATAATGTTTATGTGAGGGCTTTTAGGGTGCCCCTCACCAAAACAGTGTCCCTTGTACCTGAGGGTAAATTTTTACCATGGGGGGAGAGGGGGGACAGTCTCACCCTGTTTGTTAGCCAGGCTAGAGTGCTGTGCTGTCAAAGGTCACAGCAACCTCAAACACTTGGGCTCAAGTGATCAAGTGATCCTCTTGCCTCAGCCTCCTGAGTAGCTGGGACTACAGGCACCCGCCACAGTGCTTGGCTATTTTTTTGCTGCCATTGTTTCGCTGTTGTTTTAGTTGGTCCGGGTCAGGTTGAAGCTGCCACCTTCGGTGTATGTGGCTGGCGCCGTAACCACTGTGCTACGGGCACTGAGCCTGTAGAGGCGGCTTTTTCAGTTTCTGCTGTCTCTATACTGCCCGGTTTTACTCTCCTGCATAGCCTTGTCTTTAGTTTTGGTCAATGAACTATTTCTCTTCACTGTAGGTTCCTAATGTTGCTGTAGCCTTAGCACAGAGCCCCTTTTTCCTCTCCTGAACGGCCCTGTCTGCCTCCTTGGCCTATTGGGTCTGGGTTGAATGAGATGGTGTTGGGGGAAAGTATGTTAATGATGATCAAAGTATTCTTGTAGAAAAACTGCTAAAAGCTAAGTGTGTGGGGGCTTTATTGGAGCAGAGAGGCCGTGCCTTTGCATCCAGACTGCGCACTTGCTGAGACGTCCATCAGCGGTCCGCAGTCAGGGGTGTGGTGTTCGTGTGCTCTGTGTGACTAGCGTAAGGGTGGCTGTCGAGGAGGAGCATACTGTTGCCACACTGTTCAGTGGCTTTGCGTGCCCGTGGGAGGCTCAGGAGGTCGTCAAGAGAAAAGCACACTCAGCTAAGTGTCATCTGTTTTGCTCTGTTTTTCAGATCAATGTCCGGGTTACCACCATGGATGCAGAGCTGGAGTTTGCAATCCAGCCAAATACAACTGGAAAACAACTTTTTGATCAGGTTGGTCTCTGAACTTGAGAGAGAATTACCTCCCTCCCCACCCCAAATTGTCTTGGTTTGCGCACTTGAGGTAATGGATGACAAGGATCTTTGAAAAGGTTACAAAAGCACTAAACTGCTCTGTGACAGCACAGCAATACTCAACAACAGACGTTTATGTGGCTCTAGTAGGGATGTGAAAGCACGCTGCTATCTCTTGTTTCGAGCCAGGAGAGTGAGTGTGCTCCTCACGGAAGCCGGAAGAGGCAGTGGTGTTAGCATAGACCCAAAGGGCTGAGGAAGGTGAGTCACTGTGGCCAGTTTTAAGGACAACTGGCCTATGTGTCTCACACCTTCAACCATTGCCTCTGCCCCAGAGTAAAACTCCTCTCAGTGATGGCTGAGTGAGTCCTTAGTTGTCCCATCACTGAAACAAGGTCTTAAACAGAGTGACCGAGATAGCAGGTGTAAGCTTGTTCTCTCTTCTCCCACCACACGTTAGATTTTTCTGCAGCGTTTTCCTACCCCCTCCCCACCCAGCTTGGAACCTGGGCTGCCCTTGCTCCATGTGTCACTGGATCCTAGCGTGGGGGTTTTGGTTTGATGGAGAGCACCAGGGGGACAGCTGTCATATTGGGGCCTGGCAGCTTCACAGGCGCCCGGACAGTCTGACAGGGCTCCTCGTGCCGGAAGCCCCTGCAGTGGGAGAGGGAGGTGCCCTGAGCCGCTCGCTGCCATCAGCAAGAAGGATTTTCCAGCTTTGCATGAGATTGAGTGAAGTAGACATATCCCTGCCTTTTCCTTTCTGAAAACCTGCCACTGAAGCAGAGATAAAGGGAGAGACCTTCCTTCCCTGGTGTGTCTGCATTAGGTTAAGCTAATTAGGTTAAGACTAAGGGCATTGACAGGAATGGTGAATGACAGTTTTCTGGGAATGCTGGATTTTCCCCCAGAGCAAGGAACCAGAAGTTGGGGTTTTTTTGTTTGTTTGTTTTTTGTTTTAGCATGGACTAAAGAAAGGAGGGTAATTATAACATGTCATTTGGGAGAAGCCATAGGGGTAGAAGTGGGGTTCTGAAATAGACCACACAGATATGCTGGAGGTAGGTCGGAGATTTGGACAGTGAAGGTCTGTGGCAGGCGAGGGCAGGAACCAGCTCTCACTGGGAGGGTGTGTGGTGCAGTTACAGGGTTGGTAACTTGCCCTGCTGAGGACAGTTGGCCACATCATAGCAGATACCGCAAAGGGCTCTTGAGTGTTGGCCCCAAAAACCAGCGATCTGACAGCTGTGGAGGAGGAAGGTCAAGTGGACAGGAAATTATTCCCATTTGGTGCAGATCCAGGCTGAGGCTGCACTTGGGTGGACGAAGTGGGAAGAGTGGAGTGGAAATGGAGCAGGCCCCTGGGTGTGTGGGTTGTTCCCAAGCAACTTTGGAACAACCCAGAGAGAGACAAGGCAGGTTTAATGTCAGATGACAAGATGAAGGTTTGCAGGGAGCAAGAATTAACAGGGCTGGACATAGAAACCTGGCCTTTGAACTGAGCTTCCTCCACACTTGGCTATGTGAGAACAAAAGACTGGGGAGCAAAGCACTGTGTACAAAGTCTGGTTCTTTATATCCTCCTGGGATGAGGAATCTTGGGTGAGCGGAAGGAGGATGAGCAGGTCAGTTCTTGGCATTTAACAGACGCCTGGCGTTTTGGGAAGCATCTGGCCCCCAGCAACGTGGAAACAGGCCCCATCGGGAGTTTATTCGGAACTTCAGGCTTCACTTGAAGCAAGTGCTCTGTGTTACCTGAGTTTTCATTTCTCGGGTGTTCTTAAGTCTTCTATCCTTTTAAATACGAGAAGCCATATATGTGAAGAATGGCAGCATTTTTTTTTTTTTTTAAGGTTTAACATTATATATCATGAGGTTTACGACTGTATGTTAAAGCCCTGGGATTAGGTTTGATGGTGGTCAGTAAGTGACTACAGCAAGCTCGACTGTGACTTTTTGTTTCTCTTTCCAAGACACCCATGAAATTACCCAGCTTGGGACCCTCCCTGTAATGCAGGTCAAGAGACAGGTCCTCAGTCCTCCTACTGCGGGGGTGGGGGGGGGGTGGATGGGGTTTAAAGGTGAAGTCTGTAATGACCTAGCATTGGATTCTACCTTTGCCGTGTCAGAATTTCACATTTCTACAATCTTAACCCTGGGCTAGACACCCTTGGCATGTGTAGAGCTGCGAGCTTCCTGTACCACTGCCACCCTTAACACCCAGGAAATCTGCCACCTGCTGCTTCCGGCCTTCCTAGGACTTCTTCCCTGTTCCTAGTAGGTCAGACTCCTGTGCCAGCTGGCTTGGGAGGCGGAGGCAGGGGGCCAGGGGAGGCTTAAGTGTTCACTGGTTCCTTTGAACCACTTTCCACGCAGGCACACCCTAGGGCCAATGAAACAATGTGATACACACTGTCCTTGGTGGGCCATGGGTGGCTGCACCTCCCTGTGTGCTGGCCACTCACCCATCTGGGGGAGGAAGGTATTCGCTCAGGAAAACACCCTGAAGTACAAAGGAGGAGAAGTGAGATTTTGTAAGATTTAAAGATAACCCTGAGTCTGCTTGTTTGTATCAAAAACAAGTCATTCTTGGCCAGGCACAATGACTCACGCCTGTCATCCTAGCACTCTGGGAGGCTGAGGCGGGTGGATTGCTTGAGCTCAGGAGTTCAAGACCAGCCTGAGCAAGAGTAAGACCCTGTCTCCACTAAAAGTAGAAAAACTAGCGGGGCATCATGGCCAGCATCTGTAGTCCCAGTTACTTGGGAGGTTGAGGCAAGAGGATCCCTTGAACTCAGGAGTTTGAAGTTGCTGTGAGCTATAACAGCACAGCACTCTAGCCTGGGCAACAGAGTGAGACTCTGTGTCAAAAAAAAAAAAAAAAGAAAACTTCAGTGTAAGTCACTTGAGGCAGTGCCCATTGGGCTCACCTAAGCAGGCAGATGTCCTATTCTACTGGGCACCCTGGTAGATGACTGCCAGTAGCTGCTGCCTGTGTGAGGGGGTTTCTCATGACCATTTGGGCCCCTCTGTCCCTCTCACGCAGGTTGTTAAGACTATTGGCCTCCGGGAAGTGTGGTACTTTGGCCTCCAGTATGTGGATAATAAAGGGTTTCCTACCTGGCTGAAACTCGATAAAAAGGTAAGTCAGGGTTAACTATTTATAGGCTGTTAATCGGGTGTTGGTCTTCTCCAGTGACATTGAACTCGAGCACCTTACCCTGTCTTTGTTTTTTTGTTCTTTTTTATTTGTGTAAGTTTTTACAGACAGAAAGGCTGCAAGTTTCCAGTAACTGGGGGTATTGGTTGGAAATCAGATCCTGTACTTCTCCTGCTCACTCATTAGAGCCTAGGACGGTTAATTGCCTCGTTTTAGTTGACCTTAGTTTTTTTCCAATGAGATAGTTAATCTTGTAAACCATGAATCACCCATTATTTTGTAAGAACCTATTATTGCTTTCTTTGAACCTGTGATTATCTTTCAGCTCTAAAGACTAGACAATTCCATTAACAATTATAAAGAAAGGAAATAAGCTAAACATTTTTTTCTTCAAACTCTTTAAAAACTATTCTTTTTTTCCAAATTCCCACTTTTTATGTCACCAAGCCAAGTCAGAAGAGTGGTTGGATATGGGAAGGGTGGGGTGCGAGCAGTTCTTGGGTGTCAGATCTGTGGGGACAGGGGAGGTTTCCAGATTTGAGCTCTGTGGGGCAGATAGCCTCCTCCAGGGAGGCTTGGGGGAGGGCCCAGACGTCAGCCATGTAGGGTAGTGCTCTCCACTGACCTTGTTTGCCTTCAGTGTTAATTCAAATACATCTCTTCAGAAAAAGTGCCTGAAGGTCCCCTTTGGGTAGTAAGTAGAAATCAAGGACTTTGGGAAGGTAGGTCTCCCCTTTCCCATTGTAATGGGAGCTTGGCTTCCCTTCCCAGGTGTCTGCCCAGGAGCTCAGGAAGGAGAATCCCCTCCAGTTCAAGTTTCGGGCCAAGTTCTACCCTGAAGACGTGGCTGAGGAGCTCATCCAGGACATCACCCAGAAACTCTTCTTCCTTCAAGTGAAGGAGGGAATCCTCAGTGACGAGATTTACTGCCCACCCGAGACCGCAGTGCTCCTGGGGTCCTACGCTGTGCAGGCCAAGTTTGGAGATTATAACAAAGAGGTGCACAAGGCCGGGTACCTCAACTCAGAGCGGCTGATCCCTCAGAGGTGAGTCCCAGGTGCACTTGTCTGAGCAAGAGCATTGGTGTTACCCCCATAGTTGGACAGCACAAGGTCTTTGTCAGCGGCAAGCGCACCTCTGGCCTGGGCTTCTCAGTCGCTTCCTGAGTGCTTGACCTTTAGAATGTGCTGACCTAGCGTGGCTTTTTGTTAAGGCACTGACAGGGAAACCCAGCCAGGGAAGGGACTGCCCTTCCTCGTGGCAAGTGCCTGTGTTATGTGGGAATGCCTTAACGTAACTGAACTTTTCAGAACTGACTGTTTAACCTATTTGTTGCATTCAATAATTTGACCTCTGTTAAATCTGTTTTTATTCACTGATGGTCACAAAAATTGCCCCCTTCTGAAGAAAAGGTCCTTAAAATTTTTCCAGGAGAACTGAGTCTGTCCAGCTCAAAATGCTAAATCTTGCAGATACAGCAGGAGGTAGAAACAGAAGCTCTTTGTGACTGATTGATTTGAAAGGAAAGCAAGGGTTTGAATGTAGGGGGGAAGTGGGGCCTATCACCTGCCTCTCACAGCCCATGGGGTGACAGCACTGTGTCCTTTTGCTCTGCAGAGTTATGGACCAGCATAAACTCACCAGGGACCAGTGGGAAGACCGAATCCAGGTGTGGCACGCGGAGCATCGTGGGATGCTCAAGTGAGTACGGGCCTTCAGCTGGGATCTGTGGCCCAGGCCAGAGTGCGACCTTGGCTGGGGGCTGGGGGTGTCTTCCCACCTGGCTGCAGGGGTGTGCTCGCCCGCGGGACTCCTAGCTTCAGGCCTGAGCTCCAGCCCTGGCGCCTGGCGAGGTGTCCAGAAGGAACCGAGCCTTTGGGGAGCAGTTTAACCAAAGCCAACGTTCTTGCCTGGGGAAAAGAAGCAGCTTAATTTATACCTTCAAGTCCTAAATGGTTTCTCCCTCCTTTAGAGTAGAAGTGTTGTGTCTGAAATACTTCATTTTAGTCAGAGGGAGCATTAGTTTTCTTCTGTCAAAGAGGTGCTAAGTGTGTTCATAGATGTAAGGGGGGCTTGTCTTGAAAAGTCCACACAAATGAATAAAATGGGTCCCATGTGAGAAGTGCTGATGTCAGAGAAGCACACGTGAGCCAGGAGGAGGGACGAGGTGGTGACTGGGTGTGGAGTGGCTGACTCTGGCTGCTGGAGTCCCTGTCCTGGAGGCCTTGCCTCAGGCCTTCACTGCGGGCCTAAAGTCTGTTTGCATCTTGGGCCTCAGAGTCTGTGCTTCACAGTTTCCTGTCAGGCACAAAAATCCTTTGTGGGGGGGAAACAGGTGAAAGCTTACACCAGTGGCTGCTAGTGAGGGGAGCATTCGGTGTCCCCAAAAGCCCATGTCGGCAAGAGAAGGAGGACTGTGTCTAGCAGTAAAGTTTAGAAGAAAAACTTGTCTCCACAGAAGCCAGTAGGAGCCAGTCCTTCTAGAACATGTGAGGCACTTCGGTGTTAGGGTCAAGGACTGCACAGAGACCCTTCTGGGCACGTTACTTCTGGTCTCAGCTGACTTCTGGCTGCTGGGGCCCCTCCTGCCTCCACACGGCACAGCTGTGGACAGCCCGCTGAGGGACAGGGACTCAAGAGCTCACGATGTCAGCCCATCCTCCATGATTTGCCTTAATTTTACAATGTGTGTGTGGGGGGGGGTGGTTCTTGCTGTTTCGGACATAGCGTGCTGCTGACTGTTCGCCTGCATTTCCCTCCCTGTTAGAGACAGTGCTATGCTGGAGTATCTCAAGATTGCTCAGGACCTGGAAATGTATGGGATCAACTATTTCGAGATCAAAAATAAGAAAGGAACAGACCTCTGGCTTGGAGTTGATGCCCTTGGACTAAATATTTACGAGAAGGATGATAAGTGAGTTGAAGTTTACAATTACCTTTATTTGGAGGGGTGGTGGGCCTGGAAACAGTGGCAAAAGTGGCAACCATATGGCTTATTTAAGTACTAGCTGGCAGCTTATTGGCCCACAGCGTGACTCTTCAAAGGCTTTGGGCTGTGCCGTGGCCATCTCAGAGGGTGGTCTAGCAGCGTTATCTCCTCCAGTCACCAAGGTCTACATAACAGGACTGGTGGTATAGTGGGCAGGGTCCATGCCACCCTGAAGCCCAGGGTGAGAAGGCATCTGCAGGAAGGCATCCCCTCCCTCTGCCCGACCCAGCCACCTGCAGGTGCCAGGGTATCCTGGCTGCCTCCTAGGAGCTAGAAGTTTGTGCTGTTCCAATCAAGCATATTTTAATAAGCTCAGAGACTTAGAGAGTTGTAAGTAGCAGCCTATGTGTGCAGCTTAGCTAAACTTCGAGCCCGAGGAAGGTGTCTCCTTGTTAGTTGAGCAAGGCCTGAACGTCCGGAAGTGGTGTGAACAGTGGGCGAAGCAGTGTGCCGGGAGCCAGGCCTCTCACTGGCTGCAGGGGCTCGTGGTTACAGATACAATCAGATACAGTCACCCGCCTGCTTTCTGCTGGGGCGTTAGATACATGGGAAAACATCACTCTAGTTCAGCCAGGGCAAGGTTTCCCAGGTGGTTCCCTGAGCTCAGAGCGTGAGCCTAGATTCCAGAGCCTTCTGATCAGAAGCTCCCTGAATTTAACAATTGAAAACCAATTGGGGGGGAGGGTCAAGAGTATGTGGAAACAAACTGTCCCTAACCCCTTCCTCACCATCAGTAGGCAGCAAGAAGCAATAAGCAAACCATTTCTTTAGGAGGAGGAGAGGTTCTTTACTGTCCCTGCCTGAGTGGCCCTTGTCACCCTTATGGCTTTAATGCACCCTTCAACCCTATGTTGGCCATCAGGTTCAGGGGGCTGGCAGAGAGCAACAATTCTGGCTGAGAAGGTGCTGGGGCAGGAACACTCCTGGGGTCTGCACGCCGAGCCCTGCCCTCTGTTTGGCCTGCGTTCCTGCTTCCATGTATGAGAACCAGAGCAGCCCAGGGCTCAGGGATGTAACCTGGTCCCTGTGGTAGCCTTGTCTGTTCCTCTAAGTGATAGCTCCTGCATTTCCCACTTGTGGCTTGCCCATCTCACTTATTCTCAGGTGTTTCTGTTCTCACATTCCCCAAAAACCCTCTCTGGGGTTCCTGAGGGGTGTGGCACTGCTTTTGACAAATGATGTCACATACAATTATTTCTAACCCCACCCACCTGGATTCTTGCCAGAACCCAGAGCACAGGTGTAGTCCATGTGGGCAGAGCAGGGACCTGGGCCCACTGATCCCTGTCTCACCTCCAGCACCTGCTAGTGACATGGGGCGCAGGAAGGGAGGCAGGCATGCCCACTGGCAGGAAGGTGCTGATACTAGTCAGGTGACATGATGTGACAGGTTTTTCAGTCACAGGAGCACTCTGAGAAGTGAGTTATTGCCAACTCTTGGACCCTGGGTTTACTCCTACCCAAGTGTGCCAGATGCAGTATTGGCTAAGAAACAAGTACCGTCCGGGTCACTGGGAACTCGGGACCAGTCCATGATTCTCCCGAGAAGCCCAAGTTGAGGCCAGTGACTGTTAACACAGCCCAGTGTCCTCGTGGGAACATGTGTGGGAAACTACCTGTGCCTTTGAACTCCCTTGAATGAGCAGGTTTTGGAACAGCCATGGCCAGGGCTATGCAAACAGGTTTTTCAAGCTGCAGGAAACAGCCACAGGTAGTAACTTACTGATGTCAGCTTGCAACTGCCCCAGCCCACATAAATACTTAATTTTCCAAGTAAAGATTTGAGCTATGTGCCCCATTTAGCCCTTATCTAAAGTGGGCGCTTTCCCCCCTCCTGCCCACTCTCCCCAACAGGTGCTAGGTGGGCATTTAGTTAACAGGCCCAGGTTCTTCTCCTTCTGAACAAATATTGACAACTTGGTTAGCAGCACGAGTGGGAATTGTTAGTTACTCTTTAGTTAGTTGAATCGTTAGCATTCGTAGTAGAACTAAGAGTGGAGAATTAGATGTTCTTGATACAGTGTTCAGATGAGAACTCTGGTATGTTACGTTTATAAGCTGAGCGCTAAGAGATTTAATACGCTCTGCAAATAAATCCATCTCTATTTTATTAAAACACCCTCTTTGGTATTAAATAGGCTTTGACGGGGAATGTCTCTCGGGGTCCCCTTTTCCTTGTGCACACAGCCATCAGGAGGGAGTGTGCAGGACTTGAAAGCATTTCTCATCATCCTTCATTTCCTTCGTCCCTGACTCAGAAGAGGAAGGAGTGTAGAGAGGAAGCGGCGAGCAGCTCCCCCCTGGTCATTCCAAGCTAATGAGCCACTTAGCCAGGTCATAATTCTGCCGGGTACTGTCAGACCAAAAATAAAAAACAAAACCTAAAGGAGTCTGATCCTGCCCCCAAATTCTTTAGTCCTTTAAAGGCACTTTCCCCCCACAGCTTTAAGCCTTTCAGGGTAAGGAGGACGTAACCACGGAAACCAGTGGCCTGACTCAGTGATGCTGTGAGTTTCCTCAGTGCTCTGGGACCTGTCAACAAAGTCACATTCCTAAAACTTCTGTATCCTGTAAATGAAGATAAAATAACACAACAGACTGTTAGCCAGGGGTGTTTTTGCGGAGATTGGTGGTCCTCATAGCACAGAGCTGTGAAGAAGGAAGTTAAGAAAAGCTTTGACACCAAGAGCCAAACAAAGCCAGTGCCCTGCCGTCACTCCCTCAGGTGCACTGTGACTGCTGTGCCCCAGAAGAGCCCTGTGTCAGGCTTAGGAGCTCTCCCAGCACCCAGAGCCCACCCCACTGTCTTGACCTGGCTTATGTTGTCAAAGCAAGACCTATATTGCCCATTAGTTTTTATTTAAGCCTACTGGGCACCACAGGGGCACCACCCTTGCTGTTTCTCAAAGGGAAGTTTTTACAGGATGTTGGAAAGGACTGGTCTTGATTGCAGTGACCTTGGTGATGATGAGCGCTACTTCTAGAACAGTATTATCCCTACAGGAATGGGGTAGGAAGTGTGAGGTGAGCAGAGCAATGTGTCCTGAAATCACATGGTAGACTTCCCTGGAATGCTAATTAAAAGCCAGTCTGGGCCAGTCATGTACTGGCATCAGTTAAGGAATCACACGAGACTTTCATTAGGGGATTTTAGTATGAGGGCCTCCCTGGAAGTTGGAGGGTACACAGAAGGTGCCTGACCAGCCAGGAAGACACACATCACCAGGAAGAGAACCAGGGGAGCAGAATCTGTAAGAAGCCCCTGTCCAATCCTGTTAAAGATCTCCATTCTGAGTCTGGCAAGTCTAGAAAACATAGGGTGGGATCTTGGCCCAGCTGATTTTTAAAAAGTTAAATAATAAAGTCAGTAACTTAAGTGATACCAAGAGAATAGTCGGTGCAGCAGAAGAGACTGCACGGAGGGGAGAGGCTTCAGAAGAGGGGCCTAAGGCAGGGAGGTGGCCCGGGGGACCTTTTATTAAAGATGGGTTTGAACCCCAAGGAGTTTGGGGCTGACTTGAAGGCTCCCCTGTGCTGAGGATAGAACGGTGCTGACATTTTAAAGAGGGGAATGGGGAATGGATTGACTGATGGAGACAGGCAGATGGAAAGTAGGACTCTGGCAGGATGAGAGTTGGGAGAGGGTGGTGATGCAAGAATTGATGGCAGAAGGTGCCTGAGGGGAGAGGCGGAGGAATGTGCCCAGCTAAAATCATGGTCAGCATCAAGATGACCAGCCTAGGTAACCTTAGATGCCCCAAATGGAGAAAAACTGAAGTAAATAAGAACATATAAGGTTACACCTTACAGACAACCACTTACCCTAACCTAGGGCAGGTAGGAGCTATTTGATAATAGTATATATCACATAATGCTTCCTGGGCTACCTTAATGTTTTTTAATTAAACTAATAAGAATAGATTTGCAAACCTCTTAGTCAATTCAAGAACCCCGCCACACACATATACATATATCTAACCATCTCCCTTTTTTTTTTTTTTTCCTACTCTCAAACTTCAGGTTGACCCCAAAGATTGGCTTCCCTTGGAGTGAAATCAGGAACATCTCTTTCAATGACAAAAAATTTGTCATTAAGCCCATCGACAAGAAGGCACCTGTAAGTTCACATGGACTCTACATTTCATTACTAATTTTCATTCTTAAAGCTAGCTGACTTTTCGGATAATGCTCAGATTTCCCTAGGTGACAAGTGATACTGGGGGAAGGAATTGCTGGCAGGTTACGTTGAAGGTCAGGGGATCCTTTGACCATGTGAGTGATCATTGCATGGAAGGTTGTGGTGGAGGCCGGGCGTTTGGTCAAGATCTATCTGATTCTGAGCCACCTGAATTATCAAATGGCCTTTACTCCTTACAAAGAAGAGGGTAGTTCTGAGCCATTGATTTTTGCCAGGTAATAAGCATTTCCCAAAACGTGGGGTTTCTGCTGTGACACGCTCAGGCTTGTGCAACGTCCACGTTCGTTTGGAGAACTGGGGCTCAGGTCAGCATCTCCCCGGACGCCAGCTGGAGGGCAGATGAGATGTGCTAGTCGGAAGGACCAGAATCTGACTTTCAGAGCAGTCCTAGAACTCAGCTAAGCTAGGTGAGGCCCCAGGAACTGCTGCTCGAAGCTCTGCCTGTGTCTTGCCTGGTGCTGCTGTACAGGTGTGCGCCTCTGCCTTTTCTAGCCCTGCCTGGCACCCCTGCGGGGGCACCCTCTCATGCAGTAGGGGTTGGCAGGGGGACGTCGCTGGAGCCAGTTCATGCTTCAAGACCTAGAATCTGAAAATAGCTGCAAAGACCAGTGCATTATGGAAATTTGTTTTGGTTTTATTTATTCTGCTGACATTTAAACCCTTAGCTGCTGTTTGCTCAGAACATTTAAGACATACGTCCGTAACTGTAGCATTTTGGAATGGATAAGGATTTTGTTGTCCAATGAGAAACCTAGCTTTTAGAAAATTACCCCTTGAAGAAATGTTAGCCTCCTTAGAGCCTGTTTTGAATTTTACCAAAATTATAGATCACAGAGGACTCCATGTCCTCATATAATTTCTGTTCCTTAGTGACAGCGTTTAGCTTGGAGCGGCAGACATGGGCTGTGCTCCATGCCGCGGTTGTCTTTAACCCTGTGGGATTGGACACCACACAGCAGTGGGAGGCCCACTTAGAACAAACTGGTGGTGGTGTCATCCAGCTGCTTTCCCCACCTATGGGTTAGTCCAGCATAATTAAAAATCAGCAGGTCTTGATACTGTGAGAGTATTTTCTTCTTTATTAAAAATGTTCCCTGCTGTTTGTAAACTCTTGACTGCTATTCTGTGGGTAAAATTGCACAGTTACTTTAAATTAAAGCCCTATTTAATGCAAAGTCACAAGATCATGGTGACAATTCACATTAACATCTAACACCAGGGCTCAGCGCCTGTGGCTGAAGTGGCTGAGGCGCCAGCCACATACACCTAATGTGGCGGGTTCGAATCCAGCCCGGGCCCGCCAAACAACAATGACGGCTGCAACCCAAAAAAAAACAGCCAGGCGTTGTGGCGGGCGCCTGTGGTCCCAGCAAGTTGGGAGGCTGGGACGGGATACTCGCTTGAGCCCAGGAGTTGGGGGTTGCTGTGAGCTGTGATGCCACGGCACTCTACCCAGGGGGATAGCTTGAGGCTCTGTCTCAAAATAAAAAAAAAAATAACACCAGGAACCAAGGGTCCTAGTGTACTCTGGCTATTTGGGCGGTGGGTTGGCAGTTAGGAGAGCAGCAGAACATTGTCAAGTCTCATTGGTAGGCTACTATCTATTCAATACGATGCTACTAATTTTTTAGATTTCTTTTTTTTTTTTTTTAAATTCAACTGACAGAGGAGAAACTTTGGACTAGGCTATTTAAGAATTAGGTTATGGTCCGGGTGCGGTGCCTCATACCTGTAATCCTAGCAGTCTGGGAGGCCAAGGTGGGTGGATTGCCTGAACTCAGGAGTACTAGACCAGCCTGAGCAAGAACAAGACCCCATCTTTAAAAGTAGCCGGGCAGTGGGGCAGGTGCCTGTAATCCCAGCTACTCAGGAGGCTGAGGCAAGAGAATAGCTTGAGCCCAAGAGTTTGAGGTTGCTGTGAGCTGTAACACCACGGCACTCTACTGAGGGTGCAAAATGAGACTCTACCAAAAAAAAAAGAATTAGCTTATGTGTATGTTTTGATTTGATATAAGTTTATCTTTTGAAAAGCTAATGACAAATATTTCATAGTAAGTCCCAAGCAGAGGCCACGTTGGGGCATCTGGTTGAATTAGCACATGTGTCTTTGTACTGGGGAGCAGCTTTATAGGAACCTATAGCTTAATAAAAAGAAGAGGAAGAAGCAGTTGCTGCTCACGTATACCATGTGCCTGGAAGTCTTCTGGGGTCACATGGACAGCGTGAATAGGACGGAATCCCTACCCGCAGGAATCCCTACCCACAGGAATCCCTACCCGCAGGAAGCCGACATTCAGGTGGAGGAAAGGATTAAAATAAGTCAAATGACGTGCTTCCTGGTAGTGATACGGCTGTGACTAAAACACAGCAGGATCAGAGGCAGACAAGGGTGTGACCAGTTCACATAGGACAGGGCCTTAAAGAGGCAGCACCTGCCTGGCAGGGGCTTGCCACCTGGAGGAGGTGGGATTCCCGATGCTCTCGCACCCCCTGGGGCTGCCCACACACTGCCTCACTTCAGTCGTGGCACTTTGGGCAGAGAAAGTAAAGTTTCCAAGTTTAACCTTTGATAAGATAAAAGAGGAACCCCAAAGTTGGAGGTGATATGAGACTCTCCATCTTGGGCAGTGTTTGTAGGGAGCTCATGGCGCCTTTGCCCAGCCCTGCCCTGCTGTCTGGCTAATGACGAATCTCCTTTTAAAAACCCAGTTTCTCTTTCCTGCCAAGTTGCATGCAGCAATTGGGACCACGTTTTGATTCTAGGTGGGGCCTTAGGTACCCAGGCTGCCTATGAGAGGCGAGACAGCTGCTTTTCCCTTCCAGAAAAGGGCCTTTTGTTCCTGTGGCCTCCTGGGAAAAAAAGGCAGATGACTGTGCATCATCTTTTTCGTTCTTCTTTTTTCAGAGACAAAGTGTCACTATATCACCCTCGGTAGAGTGGTTGGTGTCACAGCTCACAGAACCCTCAAACTCTTGGGCTTAAGAGCGATTCTCTTGCCTCAGTCTCCCAAGTAGCCGGGACTACAGGCGCCCACCACAACACCTATTTTTTGGTTGCAGTTGTCATTGTTTAGCAGGCCCGGGCCAGGCTCTAACCCGCCTGCTTTGGTGTATGTGGCCAGCGCTCTACTCACTGAGCTACAGGCGCCGAGCCTGTGCAGCAACTTTTTAACAGCTTTCAAAATGTCGAAAAAATAGGCAACATTCACTAGTACAGTGACGCTCTGGGCAGCCCCTCTGCAGTGCCAAGCCTCAGGTTGGCTTTGGTGAGGGCCAGTTTCCTGGAAGGTCCTGGCGCCTCCGGGGCCTTGGAGGCACTTCTGCCGCCCCCTCCCCTCCATGTCTGTGCAATCTTGGATCTGCTTTCCTTGAACTTAGCCAAGTTTTCATTTTTAGGACACTAGTTCTTGCCAGTTTAGAAGACTTGCCCCAGTCTCTTAATGTCATGGTTTTGTAGGCACACACTGAGGACTTGGGTTTGGAAATCTTTAAATATGAGTTTTTGTTTTTAGCTTGAAGTCAGAAACTGGCTCCCTTCTAAGGCAGTGGGAGAAGTTTCCTCCCACCTGCCTCTCCTCTCTTCACCCCACTAAGCAGCAGACCAGCTGAATTCTCAGATTGTTTTCCAGGGGTTTGCAGGACCTGTCTTCATGGGGGCAGGGGCAGCTCCTTACGTTAACCTGCAGCTACTGTCCAGTGAGTTTCTTGAATTGGTTGTTTTTTTCTGAAGGGGAGTTGGTGCCAATCAGTAGTTCTTCTGAGTCCCGGTCAGGACCTATTTGGGGAGTATGCCTCAGAAGCCAGAAGGCAGGATTATTTCCTCTTGTGTAATGAGAGACAGGTGGGTTATAAAACTTCTAGTTTCTCCCAGCGCTGCAGACTCCTCCCTGGGAAACCCAATGACTTAATAACAAGTGAGTGAAACCCCAAGTAGGGCCCCACCCAGGAAGTTTCCGGGCTCTCAGGGTTTGGCATCACCTCTCACCCCGAGACTTCTGGGACAGATGGAAAGACTGAGAATAGGTCCTCGGACGTGCTGATCAGCCTGCTCTGCGTGTTCCCTCGGGGCTCAGAAGTTGCCGTGGATCGTGCCACACTGTTTCTTGGTTTCCACCACCCTTTCCTTGTCCAAATGTCAGAATCTGGAGACCAAGGGCCCCAAGGTTAAGAGGAAACAGGCATTTTAAAATCAGTTTCCATGAGAATTTTTAGACTACATTCCCTCTTTGTCCCGTAAGGTAATCATAATAGTAGCCAGGAGTAGGGAACCAAGGTTACCAGCCCTAAGTATTCACAGTCACTGGTCTTCAAATTCCTGAGCATTGGGGCTTTTTTCTCCTTTTCACAAAGGCTTCTCTGAGTTTTGCAAGGCAGCGAGCAATCTGCAAGTGACCATGTGTGTCAGTGGCTTCCAGTGTTCAGGTGCTGAATACCTTATAAGCATTATCTGACTGAATCCTCACAACAGCTCTAGGAGATACTGTGGTCCTCTCTTTATGGCTGAAGGTGCTGAGGCTGAGGGAGGAAATGACTTATTTGCTCAAGGCCGTGGAGACCCCCACGTGGCTGTGCTGCCTAAGCTGGCAGCCGCCCGTGGATGTTAGCTGAGCCCTTCAGATACCGAGTGTTGGTTTGGTCCTGAGAAGACAGAGCTAACAGAACATGGCTCTGCTCTTGAGAGGTGATGGCCTGGTGGGAGTGAGAGACACCAGTCCAAGTCAGTGGAGAGAAAGGCCGGTGACACTGTGGCACACACCTCCATGGATGGCAGGGCACAGGAGCCAGGCTGGCGCCACGTGCAGATGGTGGCATTAGACAGTGCGCAGACACTCAGGCATGTGAGAACACAGCTAGGTGAACACAAGGGAGCCCAGGCCAGAGCTTGAAGGGCCTTGGTGTGTGCCAGGACTCCTGGGCTAGCCGTGGCAGTCAGGGTGGTGGCCTGCTCAATGTCCTGGTGGCAGCTCGGAGTGCGAGAGGCTCCAGTAGGAGGAGCGAAGGGACCACGGCTGGGGTAATGGAGGGAAGGAGGGACAGCAGTGCGGAGACTCACTGGTGTTGGGCCTCGCCTGGGGAAAGCTTGCCATTTTACCAGGATCTCAGCGTACTGCACACGGCCCCGCCCCCGACTGCAGGCGTGCCTGTGCTCATCCACACAGAGATCACACGTGCACACGCCTGCCACACACTCCCTCTGCCTGTCCCAGAGAGTGCACATCCCCTGGACTCAGTCTGCAGCCCCTATTCTGTTACATTTGTGTTTTTAGAAGATTTTCTAGATTTCTGAACTATGGTTTGTGAAAAGAAATCCAAACAAGGGCTTTGACCCAAGCCCCCATCGTGCCTTGCAGGACTTTGTGTTCTACGCCCCGCGCCTGCGGATCAACAAGCGCATCCTGCAGCTGTGCATGGGGAACCACGAGCTCTACATGCGCCGCAGGAAGCCCGACACCATCGAGGTGCAGCAGATGAAGGCCCAGGCTCGCGAGGAGAAGCACCAGAAGCAGCTGGAGCGGTGAGTGGCCGTGGAGCCTGGGGCGGGCTGTGCTCTCCGGCTGGGGGCCAAGCTGCCTCCTCTGCAGTCACAGGCAGGGCTGGGGCTGTGGCCTCCACACTCTGCCGTTCCTCCAGGTTGGGCGGGCTGGGGCGGGAGATGGCTGGCTTCTGTCTGTCCCCCAGAGTCTGAATCATCCTGCATCTCGTCCTTTTCCTCATACCAGGCAACAGTTGGAAACTGAGAAGAAAAGGAGAGAAACTGTTGAGAGAGAGAAAGAACAGATGATGCGTGAGAAGGAGGAGCTCATGCTCAGGCTGCAGGACTACGAGGAGAAAACCAGAAAGGCGGAGAGAGGTCGGGATCTGCCGTGGGACAGGCACGGGTTGGGGCTGTTTGCTGCGCGTCTGCTCACTTGTTTGCAGAGAGGGCTCAGCACACGCAGTTAAGAAGGAAAACTTCCCGGAACATGTGCCTCACTTTAACACCATACCCTAAAGCACAGACTTGTAACAGAAGAGATCAAATGATTATTCAATTTAGAAAATATTTCTTTTTTTTTTTGAGACAGAGCCTTAAGCTGTCCCCTGGGTAGAGTGCTGTGGCATCACAGCTCACAGCAACCTCCAACTCCTGGGCTCAAGCGAGTCTCCTGCCTCTGCCTCCCAAGTAGCTGGGACCACAGGCACCCGCCATGCCTGGCTATTTTTTGGTTGCAGCTGTTATTTGGCAGGCCCCGGCTGGATTCGAACCTGCCATCTTAGGTGTATGTGGCTGGAGCCTTAGCACTTGAGCCACCACAGGTGCCAAGCCTAGAAAATATTTCTTTATTAACTTCTGTGCTAATTATCTTCTGCACATGGTCTTTTAAAATTTTCCCCACAGTACTGTAAGGTGGATGCTGGATTGCCCTGTTTTCCCAATGTGGATGCTAAGGTCTAGAGAGGTGATTTGCCCACAGGCATCCAGCCAGTCAGTGCAGAGCCAGGCCACAAGGCCCCTTGCACTTCTAGACTGAAACCCAGGGTTAGGCCCCCAGACCTCCGAGGTTACCCTCAGCAGGCCAGCAGTTTGTGCGGCCCTCAGGGGACTTGAATCTTTTGAGGAGACAGCTGCCCTCTCTGCTGCCTTTAAAACACTTAGAAAGGGCGTTGCTGTATTCCAAGCAGAGTAGGAGGTGATGTGGGGGTGGTGACCTCATAGCAGCGCCATCCAGAGAGTGTGGTGCCAGGAGGGCAAAAGCGTTAGACTCTGCTGGGAGAGGCATGTCTGGCCAGCTTAGAACAGCCATCTTGAGGATCCCTGAAGCACTTTTGTCCTGTATCCTGGAAGAAGTTCCGTAGACCTGTGTCTTAGTCTATACTCTGTCTGGGCTGCAATGGGAGGCTAGGACACCTGGGGGCCCCAGGCTGAGTGGCTGACTTTGGGTCTTCTCTTCAGAACTCTCTGAGCAGATTCAGAGAGCCTTGCAGCTGGAGGAAGAGAGGAAGCGGGCCCAGGAGGAGGCCGAGCGCCTGGAGGCTGACCGCATGGCCGCACTGCGGGCCAAGGAGGAGCTGGAGAAACAGGCAGTGGATCAGATAAAGAGCCAGGAGCAGCTGGTAGGAATCTCTGAGTTTCAAGGTGCTGAATTATAGAGAGGCTGCTTCTGGGGATAGAAAAGGCAACACCTGCCTGGTAATGATTTTTGTTACTGAAAACTGTAAGCTGATCTGCTGGGGGGGGGGGTGAAGCAACTGGTGGGGAGAGGGCCATGCCGTTGTCTTAAGCTGCCCCAACAGACAAACTGGGGGTGGCACTGATGGATCCTGCCGGCCGTGGGGAAGAGAGTGGCTGTGCACCACAGGCGTGAATGTTCAGTCACAAGCGGATTCTGTTGAATGTTCCAGAGCTCACTAAAGCTCTGCATTCCCTTCCCAGGCCGCGGAGCTTGCAGAGTACACTGCCAAGATCGCCCTCCTGGAGGAGGCCCGGCGGCGCAAGGAGGATGAGGTGGAAGAGTGGCAGCACAGGGTGAGTGGCAGCTCCCACGTGGCCACCTGGCACATTGCCCATGGTGGGGCAGTGCTGGCTCAGTGGGCAGGTCCCATTGGAAGCTTCTGGGACGCTTCATAGTCCTCTGCCAAGGCCAGCTGTGCAAATCCCCAAAGGAATGGGCTTGACCTTGTATACCACTGAGCGTTGCTGTTAGATTAGGAGAGAAACAAAGAACTATTTATTCACTTCTACCTGCTGTGCCCCGACCACCCTGAATTGTCCAGCCATGATCAAACAGCCCCCAGTTGGGAACTGGTTTTAAATCCGATTACACTGGGTGCCCCTGCCATGAGGCTGCATTGCCAAAAACGAGGCCTCCTGACTGCTAGTGTACACAGCGGGGCCAGCGGGAAGGCCTAGCCCAGGCTCTGCCACTCCACTGTGTGATCAGGTCAAGTAGCCTCACCTCTGAGCTTCAGTTTTCTTCTGGTAGAATGAGGGTGAGACCCCGCTCGGAAGGTTGGGATGGTGCACATTGTAGACTTAACGCTGAGTCTTGGGAGGCGCCTGTCCTTTCCCCCTGTGGCGGTCCCCTTCTGGGGGTGTATCTCCCCTGTCTTTGCTGCTTCTGGCCTGGTACCTCCCTCTTGCTTGTCTTCCATCCCCCACGTCTCCCGTGCCCACTCCCTAAGCCAAGTTGCAAACAGAAGACTCTAGCTTAGGTTTTTGGAGAAAGTATGCATTATAAAGAATTTGTGAGAAAAGCTCGTTCCAAAGTAGATACAAACTAAGCTGGTCTCCAGGGGCCTAGGATGAGTGTGTGTGCTGCATGGAGGGACCAGCGGTGCGGGGTGGGAAAGGCCTTAATACACAGCATCCCCCAAGGAGAGAGCAGGTGCACACCAGCACCTTACTGGTGGCTCTGCTGTAGCTAAAGGATCTGTTTATTTCTCTAATAAATTCCTTTCTAAAGGGTGTACAATGAACACATGCAGTGGCTCCTCCTCAGTTGGGCACCTCCTTAAGGTAACCTCATTTCACAGACCGGACATGCACCACATGTACGGGTCAATACAGTAGGCCTAGTTTCTTACGTTGACCAGTTTGTTACAGGTCTTTGAAGGTTCAACTTACAAAGGTTCTACTGCATTAGGATTAAAGACAGAAGAAAGAAATGCTACTTAAAAAGTCCCTGGGCTCTGATATCTTGCTGTGGAGATGATGGATAACAGGGCCACAGACCAGCCCAAGGGGCCCTGGGATAAACAGTGGCCCAGCAGGGTTGTGTGCTGTGCAGCCAGCCAGCAGAGGGGTGGGGTGCAGGAGTGCATGGGGGCCTTCTTCTAAAGGAAGTTGTTCCACAGACAGACATGGTAGGTGCGAAGTTCTCACTTGTCTGTCAATATGCTTTCCAAAGGCCAAAGAAGCCCAGGAGGACCTGGTGAAGACCAAGGAGGAGCTGCACCTGGCGATGACGGCGCCCCCACCCCCGCCGCCCCTCCTGTATGAGCCAGTCACCTACCACATGCCCGAGGGCCTGCAGGAGGAGGGCGCAGAGCCCATGGGCTACAGCGGGGAGCTGTCCAGCGAGGGCATCCTGGACGACCGTAATGAAGAGAAGCGCATCACCGAGGCTGAGAAGAATGAGCGTGTGCAGCGGCAGCTGCTGGTGAGGGCAGGGCCTCTGCTGTCCCCCGGTCTGTGCCCTGTCTGAAGGGCCGGCCACACCCTGACACCCTGCACTCCCGCCCCTTTCTGGGGGTCTGGCTTCCCAGCTGTACCTGTGGAGAGGGGGTAGCTGACCATGCTGCTTTATGTTGCAGACGCTGAGCAACGAGCTGTCCCAGGCCAGAGACGAGAACAAGAGGACCCACAACGACATCATCCACAATGAGAACATGAGGCAGGGCCGGGACAAGTACAAGACGCTGAGGCAGATCCGGCAGGGCAACACCAAGCAGCGGATCGATGAGTTTGAGGCCATGTAGTGGCCAGGACTATGGGCAGAGGGGCACCGGAGGGCCCTGCCAGCCTTGTCACACCTGTATCTTTAGCACTCCAAATCTAGGCACCCTCTTTCGCACCCTAGTCCCTCTACAAAGAGAGTGTTTATCCTGGCGGAGATATTCTGGGCTGGGAACCAGTGGAAGCCTCTCTGGTCTATTTTTTCCAATTGTATCATAGTGCCAACCAGGCCTGATTTTTATGATTACTATTGAATCACCTCCCATGTTGTGCTTGGAATAGGACTGAGTGAATTAAGGCAGAGCACCTGTAAGTGTGAGCGACCAGCTCCACGCTGGCATGTGTGACATGAGATTCAGTACCATTAAAGAAAACCACATCGTGGCTTAAATCTGTGCCATACTTTTTCTGTATTTGAAAATGAGCTCAAATCAACCTTTTTTTTTTTTTATTTCTATGAAGGATCCATCTTTGTATATTCATGTTTTGAGGATTGAAAATTAGATTGCAGCTGAAGCACTCGCACATGTACGATTATTTCTCCCCTGCTGTCTGTGCAGCGGGTGGCAGGGCTGTGGCTCGCTCAGCAGGGCCACCCGGGGAGGGCACGCTTGGATCAACTTTTTAAGATTTTTTTTCCTTTTTGGTTTTCTGCTTATCAGTTAGAAGGACACATTGTTGGATTTAACATGCCTAATTAATGATCAGCTATAGAGTGTAGTATTTATAAGTGACAATATGGGTTTGTAACATTAGTTTTAAAAAGGGAAAGTTTTGTTCTGTATATTTTGTTACCTTTTACAGAATAATAAAGGAATTACATATTATAAACCATGTAACCACAGCACTTGATCTGATGTGAGGGCAGTGATAAGCTGATTAACTGCTATATTCAAATCTGTAAAAATGATTTTTTTTAAGTGTTTGTGCATATAATTAACTATGCCCACTTCAATTTTCTGGCTAAGCTCCTTGTTTGAAAAACAACACTTTATGACCATTTAGACTCCAGCCGTGAAGGGACCGTCCTCAACCCACCCATCTCTGCATTTCCACAGAAAATCCCTGCTCTGTCTCCCACAGCTGTCGAGCCGGGAGGACACTGGCTTCCACACGCCGTTGGTTCTGCTCACTCAGGTTCTTTCCACATGCACTCTCCTTTTCATTTGTCACGAGCAGAAGAATCCCCCACCACAGGCATAAAAATGGGAGCTCTGGGTGGGGCAGGGCCTGAGCTCTGTGCAGGCCTTGGGCCATGCCTGCTCCCCCAGCACCCCATAGGCCAGGCAGCTCTGGAAACAACTGCCCACAGGAGAGGAGGGATCACCCTCTCCAGGCTCGTCCTCTTCAGTACATGTGACAAAGCTGTAGTTGTCACCACTCGACACAGTGACCGGAACGTGTATTGAAGTCTGGCCATTTCCCAGAGAACACACAACTGGTTTATGTAACATGGCTGTTTAATTTAAATACAGAGTCACCAACAGGTGTCTTAGCCACACGGCCAGACTGTAGGTGGAGACTGCATCCGGGAGTCTTTTCCAGCTGTGGCCCCACACCCAGTTCTTAGCCCCTCTCTTCACACCCATTTAGCCCGGAGCGGTGGAGCCTTCACCTCAGTGCAGGGTGAGCGTCATGTCAGTCCACAGATTGGGGCTGGAAAGAACTTTCTGCCAGTGAAGCTTCGACTGTGCACATGAGTCCGCAGCACCAAGGGCATCTCCCTCTGCAACAAGAGTGGGACACGGTGACGAGGGTGGGGACACCCACCACTTCCCCATCTCCTCTCAGCTGTGTAAGAATGAGACGCAGCAAGAAAAGTTTGACACCTCAACTCGAGACCATATTAAAGTGCCAGCTGCTGCTGTTGAGTAAAGAGAAGCTGCCCCCACACCCCCAAGAGAACAGGATGGGCTCAGGTACTGGGAGGCCCCGCGTTCCCAGAGCAGCTTCCTTTTCGGTCCTTGAAAAGTGAGGATGAGACAACAGCCTGGCGGGCTGACTGTCCACCAGGGCAGAGGCGGTCTTAATACACTGGCCAGGTGATGGCTGGGTGGGAACCGTCTCAGGACCGAGGGTTGGTTCCTCAGAGAAAGAAGGGATGCTTTGGACAACAGCCCTTTGAAAAATGATGATTTAATCTTATTTCTCTTTAGTGGTTCTCGGATGTTCTTGAAGGTGTGTGCAGGTGTTTCTGGTTGCCACGATATTTGGGGGGCACTACTGGGAATCCACAGGGAGTGGTTGGGACACAGACACCCCCACCATCACTCCCCAGAGAGCTGGTGGCCCCCGTGGTGAGCGACTCTGGACAGCATTGCTGTTTCTGTGCTTCTTAATGAAGTTCTTTCTGAATTGCTTTTTGTTTGAGTTAAGAAGATCTATTCCTTTAAGAGAATAATCCTGTTATGATTGACAGCAGAAACAAAAGCACATACTACACCTTGCCCATTTGGAGGCCTGTAATTTTTATTTCTTTGGCAGATCTAAATCTGATTTAAATTGTCAAAATACCTTGCCGTATTATCGGTCAGTTATAGAGTAAGAACTAGTCTTAGGAATTTCCATTTATGGTGGGTTGGGCAGTTTCAAAGCCAGCAAGTCACTGCCATTGCGGAAGTATTTCTCCCATGTTAAGACAGTCACTTAGGACAAGCGGTGTTGTTTGGGCCCGGCAGATGTCTTACACTTACTTGGCCCGAGTCTGGCCGCCCCCAGCAGGCGATCGTTCACCCCAAAGACAGCGTGGTCCCAGACACTTAACTCCAGGCTCGCCTGCCTCAGCTGCGACGCCGTCACACCGCTGAAGACAAAGGAGTGTTTCCACTGGGGACAAGCCTGCTTCTTGACGACTGGGGACTTCAGTCTCAGTCTTTGTTGGTCTGGCAGAGTGAGACAGCTGGAGGGAAACACGAGACCCCAGGGTAACTACCCCCGAGACCCCAGGGTAACTACCCCCGCACAGCCTCCGTGCCCTAGTGAGGCTTGTACATCTGTGTGGACCAGAAGATCTAAGTGCTAAAACCTGCCACAAAATCAACATCCTACACAAGGGACCTAGAAGGGGGCTCCCAAGACGGCTATAAGACCTTTTGCTAGGATACCCCAAATTTCTACTGGAGCTGAATATAAAGGGTAAGTTGGGATTCTGAGCCCATCTGGCCTGCACCTTACACTCCTCCTGAGGGTACCTACTGCTGTGACTTTTTTTTTTGCAGTTTTTGGCCTGGGTTTGAACCCTACTCTGGTATATGGGGCCACAGGCACCGCCTGCTGTGACTCTCCTTTTAACCCTGTTCTCAGGGAAACAAACCAGCACAGGATTAGAAAACAAAGCCATTGGATCTTGACTCAGTAGGCCTTCCCTTGTCCCTGGAGATTTAGCGATTCCGTATAGTAACCATATGGCATTTGCTTCACTTTTAGAGGTACTGACACCCTTGTAGTAAGAAAGGAGTGTGGAGTCACCCCTTCAAACGCTGATCGAAGAGGATGTGCTGAGCTAAGGAACACACTACTTTGTCATGCTCCATTTCAAAACTGACCCAGTTAACAAGAACTGAGTGTTTCAAATTAGCCCCAGCACATCCACCTCCTATGAATTCTTGGAAATCAGGGTCTTTAGTATGTGCTGGTTTCATTTTTCATCAGATAGCTGAAGTAAGACAAGTTGAACTGGCTTACTTTAGGGAACATCTTTTGGTGTCCCCTACAAGTTCTGTACCACACAGTATATGTACTACTACATCATTGTAAATAACATTTGGTTACATCCAACACCTACCCCTTCACAAATGAATTTAAGGTACCATCCGACCGCACAGGTAAATTCTTGGCTCCCAGCACTACCAAACAGAGTTGACCATTAGGTGGTGGCTCATCTGTCCCTGGAAGGAAAGCTGGAATTCAGTGTCAGCACCCCTACTCCCAATGCATCAGTAGGCAGTGCCTCCCCCAAACTGACAGCTCAGGGAGAGACTACAGATGCCAGCCAGCCCCAGACAATGAAGGGGAAGGGGTGCACAGTGCCACCCGCAAAGTAACAGCTCAGGGAGAGACTGCCAGTACCAGCCAGCCCCAGACAACAGAGGGGGAAGGTGCAGAGCACCCTGAGAAGGCCCTGCCCTCCCACCACGTGAGCAGCCCGAGGATGTGAGGAGGGTCTGCTAAAGTCCTAGCAGGGAGGAAAGAGGAGTGAGCTTTAGCCTGGTTGTAGGCAGTGGTTTGGGGGAAAGTGGGAGCCCCAAGATGTTGCAGGGGTTGTGATGGCCACAGGTGTGTGCTCCTGGTCTGCTGGGCATGGGAGCTTGGGAAACAGTTTTAGCCAAATAGGAAGTTATTGAAACATGCAGTGGAAATGTATGTCCTCCCCACCTCCCTTCTCCCATTTTCTGTATGCCCCATGATGTCTAAGGGAGCAGGGTCTCCATCCAGTCCCCAGGGTCCGTCCTTGACCTGCTTCTCTTGCTGGGCAGCAGTTGCTCTTGTGATTAGGGACCACGTGTTTATCCACTGAACCTGATAGGTACCAGGGCCTTGAGATGTGCTCTTGGTCCCCAAAGAGCCAAAATTCCCACCCATGGCATCGTCATAGAGGCTCTTCAAGCAGGGCCTTGGTTGCACCAGAGTCCATCCACCCTGCTCCTCTTGGGAGGCAGCTGTCCCCAGCGCAGTGTAAAGTGGCATCAGAGGCCTTGCCTGTGGATTCCAGAAAACCCTTCCCAGGCTGACCCCGTAACTCTTTTTTTTTTTTTTTTTTTTGA